CATATGGGTAACTTTAATTTCTAGAGCATCTACTTATAGATGTACCTTTTACAAAACCTGATCTAGAAAAATTCTTTTTCCCTGTATCTGCTTTCACGGCACCCTCTTTTCTCACTTTTCAAGAAAGGCACGTGAGAGATGACTCTCCGTGGGTTCTTCCTGTTTCTGCAGAGGCACTGATGGCCTTTGCTCTCGGATGACCTTTGCAAGGATGATTACAGAGAACAATCTTGAAAGACAGAGTTCCCCTCCAGAGCAGAGATGGCTGCTGTTCAGTCCAACTTCTCTCTGGGGCAAAGGTCAGGTAGATGTGTAAGCAGCCTGTTATATAAGGTCCCAGTTTCCTAAGTTTGGGGGTTCCTCAGCTATGACACTGCAAATCAGCTGTGTGCACAGCAGCCCCATGGCTGCTCCACGTTGCTGCTAAGGGATTATGGGAAAGGGATTGATGTGAATAGGTAGCTCATGCTACCTGCAGTGCCACAATCAACAAACTCCTTTGTCTCTGATGCAAGAGGCTCATGTCTTTTGGCAGCATCCATGAAACTGTCACAGCTAACTGACCAGCATGCAAGTAAGTACAATCTCAGCCCCTTCAGAGTTCTTGACAAGGTACACCTCTCAATCTCTACAATGTTACTGTTAATATGGCACAGTGCCTGCCTGAGGATATAAAAATTTTGAGAGGCACCAAGAAAAGGGACAATTTGAAACACTGGTACTGGTGAAGCACTGGAGTGGTAGGGCTTCTTGCCTTTTTTTTGCCTTATATTTTGGCATTTGACTGCTAATCAGAAGGCTGTCAGTTCAAACCCACTAGCCACTCCTCAGAAGGAAGACTGGGCAATCTTCTTCCATAGTGATATCGCCTGGGAAACCCAAGGAGGGGTCGCCATGAGTTGGATCCAACTCGACAGCTCTGAGGTTTTTTTTTGGGGGGGGGATTTTGGTTTTATTTTTTCAAGTGTAAACTCTAATATTATTTGTTGTAATTAAGGTTGTGTGTCAACTTGGCTGGGCCTGGTTTTGAGTGGCTAGGCAGCTGGAAGTAGTTATTCCCCATGATGAGACTGGTAATCAACTCCATGGTAGAATCTACTGTGAGCATGCTTCACTGGCCTTAGGAATGTGGTCTGCTTCCAGTATATAAGCAGCAGCTTTGATAAAGGTTTCTGAGCTTTTTGGCACATCTGGATCCTGCATTTGGCCAAGTCCTCATCACAGCGGCCTGCCATGTTGTCTGTCAATCTTGAGACTGTTTCAGGACTTGAACTAATGTCCTCCCATGCTGTTTGGTAATTTTGGGACTGTGCCATTTTATTTGTTGACCATGGGTTCATCAGCCTCAGCAGTTGGCAGCTGCCTGAGTTAAGAGAAGCCTCCAGCTTCAGTGGGCTGAGACCAAGAGGCAGAGCTGAAGTCCAAAGTTGAGGGGCCTTCACCCAGCCCTTGGAGTTGGCACTTCGAACTTGGACTTCTAGCCTCCTAAACTGTAAGAGAATAAATCTCTGTTTAAAACCACCTACTTGTGGTATTTCCTGTTAGAGCAGTAATAGAGGACCAAAACATTATTCCAAATTTTATACTGGCCTCCCTGTTAGGAGAATTATACTCCCTTTACCACAGTGAAATCAAGCTTGATCTTGTGTCTAACTCTGGCCAATGAAGCATGACTGGACACTACTGCAGAAGACTGAAGCATCATGCGTGCCCCTGCCATTGCTCTTTTCCACCCACTCCTTCAGTATGAGTTTTAGGAATGAGGTTGACTCTTGACCAGGACCAAAAACTAACCCACACCAAGCATGTATGACAGTGAGAAAAGTTGGTAAGCCAGTGAGATATGGGGGAGATGGGGCCATCTGTTACCACATGGATCAAGTGTTCTGATCTACTGTCATGTGAAATTTGCCATTTATTTAGATCTTCAATGTCTTTCAAAATGTTTCAGTTTTCAGAGTACAAATTTTATACTTTAATTGTGAAATGTATTCCTGTTTTCCTTTCTGATACTTCTGTGAATGGAACTGTCCTCCTTAATTTCACTTCTGGAGCATTCATTCCAAGTGTACAGAAATATAATTGATATCTGTATACTGATCTTGTGTCCTGTCATGCTGCCGAACTTGTTTAGTTATAGTAGTCTTTTATTGGATAACTTAGGTTTTCTATATACAAGACACATCATCTGAGGGCAGAGATCGTTTTATCGCTCCCTTTCCAATCAGGCTGCCTTTTCTTTCCCTCTCTTACCTAACTGCCCTGCTAGAACCTCTGGCACAATGCTGAACAGAAGTGGTGAGAGCAGAAATTCTTAATTTGTTCCTGATATTACAAGGAAAGCATTCAGTCCTTCACCATTAAGTGTGTATGATGTTAGTTGTGGGTTTTTCATAGATGACTTCTAATGACAGGTTTTTGATTATAGTTCTTTAAAAAATATGTGAATGGATTATATTACATGAATTGGTTTTCTAGTATTAAACCAAAGTTGCATTCCTACAACAAACCCAAAGCAGTCATGTTATGTTACACTTAAAACAAACAAACAAACAAAAAAAAACCAACCAACCAACCAAGAACATACATAGCTGGATTCAGTTTCCAATTTTTGTATTAGTGTTCCTGAGTGGATCTGGGCTATAATTTTCCTTGTAGTTCTTTTCTGGTTTTCATATCAAGGTTACATTAGCCTCATAAAATGAGTTGAGGTGGTGGTTCCCTCTTGTTCTGTTTTCTGTTTACAAATTCTTAGCGGAGATTTTTTTACCCTCCTCCATTCCATACTGTGAGTGAGTCAGACAAGGATTCTTGCTGGTCCTTTTGTGGTGGTGGCATTTACTTCTCATTCTCATACAGAGCATACAGAGTTACGAAATCCCAGCTTTATGCAGGCATCTGCTAATATTTTTCCACAGTAGGCAGGTCCCAGGCTTTATTTCCTATACTCTGTCCATTTCAACTACCAAGCCAGAAGTTCAATGTCTCCAGGGGTCAGCAGAAACCCTCAAGCTTAAAGCTGCCATCAGTTTTTGGGTTGCTCACCTGCTCTCCCTTTGTGATTTGCAAATTTCTTAACTTTGCATCAACTCGATGCATTTAAAAATGTATTTTATCCAACATTTTAGCTTTTTCAGTTGGCAAAGTTCTTCGGGGTATCTATCACAGAGCTAAAACTGGACAGTTTTGTGGTTATTATTTCAACCATACTTCTGTCATCACATTGCTTTCTCTCTACAGATACAAGCTCCTAGTTTATAAAGGTTAAGTGATATCTTCATGCAAGCAGTTATTTCCTAAATCAGGAGTCTGTTGTTTGTAGGAACAATTTACAGAGATATTCTATTCCTGTGATTCTTCAAGGTAATATTCTCCTTCCTAAAGCTGTCATGTCTTCTCATCAGCTCAAAACTGTGTTTTTCCATTTATTCATTTGTGAAAGGGGAGAGATGCAGACCTAGCATTTGCTACCAAGCAGGACGGATGCAGTGGCTTTAGAACCCCCTAACTGCCCATGACTATCAGAGGTTCCTCTGAAATTTAAACATTAATGTTAAGTTGGTACCAATAAAAACCAAAAAACAAACTCACTGGCATCAAGTCAGATCCAACTCATAGTGACCCCTTCTTGGGTTTCTGAGGCGGTATCTCTATGGAAGTAGATTGCCCAATCATCCTTCCGAAGAGTGGCTGGTGGGTTTGAACCACCAGCCTTCTGGCTAGCAGTCAAATGTCTTAGGGACTTTGTGAAAAACAGCCTCCAGATTAAATGTGCTGACAAACAGAAATTTAAGTAATATAAAGGCCCAATGGACTGAAGTTAGGTTTTCCCTGATAAGTACGAATTAATCCAGATCCAAGCAGTAGGTTATCCTTTGCAAACTGTGCCTACACAGTTACTCCAGTTGCATGAACAGAGCACATAGTACACATTACAATATGCTTCCTAATTCATCCCCATTCACAAGACAGTCTGCAAACATTCCTTCCAGACTTTAGAATGTTTTTTTTCCCTCATATTTAGTTTATAGTGCTCTTCATGGGTATTGTAAAGGAAACTTGGGAGGAAGTTATTTTTTGGATTTATTAAAAAATTTAAAATTTTGTATCTTACTGCCATGGATTGAATTATGTCCTCCCAAAATATGTGTCAATGCAGCTATAGGTCAATGAATACTGAGACTCCCAGTATCATGTGGTTGTCTTCATTCTGTAATCTGATGTAATTACCCTCCACTTTGTGATCCTTCATTTCCTGTGTTGTAAATCCTGACCTCCAGGTGTTGAGGAAGGAGTAGGTTATGCTAATGAGGATTAAATTAAGTTTGTTATGTTAATGAGGCAGGATTAGGGTGGAATGTATCTTGAGTCAAACCACCCTTACTTAAGTCACCACCCTTACTCAAATCACACCTTTTATCTTGTTGTTGTTATTATGTGCCATCAGCCAGACTCATAGCGACCCCTCCTTGGATTTCCAAGGCAGTATCACTACGGTTGTAGATTGCCCAACCTTCCTTCCAAGAAGTGGCTGGTGGGTTTGAACCGCCAGCCTTCTGGTAAGCAGTCAAGTGCCTTAGGCACTTTTATGTTAGAAGAGACAAAAGAAGACAGATGCAAGCAGAGAGGAGAGGGTCTTCCTTAGAAGAAATAGAGCTGGAAGTGGAGCCTATCCTTTGGATCTGAGGTCTTTGTATTGAGAACTTCCTAGATCCAGGGAACGACTGATGCCAAGACACAGGGAGGTCTCCAAGGAACATCCGGGCCACAGATGTTGAGAGGAGACCAGGACCTTCCCCCAGAGCTCACAGAGGAAGCCTTCCCCAGAGCTGGTGCCCTAATTTTGGACTCTAGCCACTAAACTGCGAAAGAATAAGTTTCTGTTTATTAAAGCCATCCCCTTATGGTACATGTTACAGCAGCACTAGATAATTTAGACACTTACCATACAGTTTAGGCAAAATGCACTGAAAACACATTCATAGACTCCAGATAAGTACCTGTCATGTTTGATCCTGGCCAGGAGAGGCTCCAGCCATCCCACTGTGCACTCACAATGAGCGTCTAAGAAGGTGATCACTTGGCCTTTGGACACAGCAGCTCCTTTCAATCTGGCTCTGATCAATCCAGAACGTTGTTCCATTCGAATTACATGAACTGGTACTTTTAATTTTTTCACATAACTCTCTAGAGGTCTTTTCAAAAAGTCTGGAAAATTAACAAAACAAACAAATAACATTAAAAAGTAAGACCTGGGGCTACCCAGAGGTAAAGCAATTTTGATTTGCACTAGTCATCCAACATGTATTTAGGAACACTTTCAGTGAGGATGCCTGACTCACAAACTCATTTCTCTACCAAGAAGCTTTTTTATTTCCTGAGAGCATGTACTACAGCTGCCTTTATCTTATATATATATATATATGGCTCAGGCTCAACAGAGTAGACCACATTTCTCTGAGTAACTCTCTGTCAGGCTCAGTTCTTTTTCTAATAATGGTTAATGATCAGGAAGGGAAAGAAAGTAGTTAAACAGAGTAAGTTCAGATCTCAATAGTGAGAAAGAACAGAGTATGTAATAGCTGTGAAAATTCAGAAAAGGAGAATTTCTTCAGAGGTAGAAATGAATTGTCTTATGGCTACTACAGTCTTGGACTATATCGTTCTTCTATCAAAAGACAAAAAGTGAGGTCAAACTCAAAATAGAAATACTGAAGTAGCAAACTATAAAGGGAAAGGAGAGAGAGAGAGAAATAGAGAGAGAAAGAATCATACCTATGAAATCAATAGGGAACTCTGGTAGCATAGTGGTAAGGCACTTGACTGCTAACCAGAAGGCTGGTGGTTCAAACCCACCAGCCACTCCTCGGAAGGAAGGTTGGGCAATCTACTTCCAATACCACCCTGTAAACCCAAGGAGGGGTCTGACTTGATGGCACATAATAACAACAACAACGAAATCAATAGCTATCCCGAAGAGTTCAGATAGAAGTTATGCCCCTAACACCAAGAATATTCTGCCTCCAAATTACTCAATTGATTTTTTAAAACACAGAAAAAGCTCAGTTTCCTCAAAGGAAATAGCAAAAGGATTTTTCAAATCAGGTTACTTCAGGGAATTTATGTGAGAGCAGCTCTTGGTGGTGGTATGGTCCAATGTCTTCTCATCTAGTCCCTACACAACAGATATGAGGATGATGTCTCCCTCATACCTGAGATGGAACTACTGGGATTCTATGACTAGCTTTGTCCCATAGGGCTCTCCCAATGGGAAGGCCAGAGAGATCAGGGTACGTGCATTAAGGGGCTCTTTAAATGTTAAAAGTGGGGATCCAAAGGGCTTCCTACATGGTGGGGAAAGAAAGACAAAGAGCAGCAAAATGGTTTTTTGCCTTTTTGAACTAATAAGATCAGAATGACTCAACAATGAAGTAATCAGGGATATGAGAACTGTGAAAGGGAAGGGCTGTGTGTCTCAATATACCGGGATACTGACCACTTGCATTTCTGCGCATACACATCCTACCATCTGAGCCAAAAAGAGTATGTGAAAAATACCTGGAGTAGAACTCCTACTTGGTCATCACTGTGATTTTTGGAATCAAATCTTAGGATAAAGAAAGAAGTAACTTGATTCAGAGTAAAACAGTTGATATAGTGCCCAACCCTGGGGAAAAGCACCACTGACTACCAGTAGCTGTCATTCTGTCTGTTTAGCACTTATGCTAAGTAAGCTCTTTATGCATTTTACCTCATTTAATCCTCAAAACAGCCCTATGCAGTTAAGTAACACTGTGTTTACTTTGGAAATGAAAAATCTAAGGCTCCAAATATTAAATGAACTTGATCAAGGTGACACAGCTGGTTAAGGGTGGATGTAAGATTCAAACCCACGACTGCCTGACTTCAGAGCATAACCACAGCAAGGAATCCTAGATGTGAACTCTAGAGAGAACAATTCTGGGCTGTGGGACCAACTGATGTGAGGTAAATTTAAATCACTCACTTTAAGTCCAGAATTTGATAGTCTCTCGAGAGGAAGGTATCTGATATATTCTAGAACCTCAGACCAGTCAAGGTTGGGTGTGTCACAAACACTGTGTCTCCCAGTGAGTTTTCCAAAAAATATCAGACAGTTTAAAGTACTTCTTAAGAACAAAGTCATCTAATTTCCCAAGTGCTATAGCTTTGAAAGCTGTAATACATTGTCTTGTCTATGAACAAAAGGAAAAATTCTATGGTCTGGTAGCTCAACAAGTTGTTACTTCACCAATTGGCTTGGCATCATAAAGGTTTTCATGCAGTAAGAGTGTCAGCTGCCTGCTGATACAGAACTATGGACAAAAGGCAACACAGATACTAACTATTTAAGCCTCATTTAACCTAAGGCATTTGACTGCTAACCAGAAGGCTGGAGGTTCAAACCCAATCAGTCACTCCTCAGAAGGAAAATTGGGCAATCTACTTCTGTAGTGATACTGCCTCAGAAACCCAAGGAGGGGTCACTATAAGTCAGCTCTGACTCGACGACAGTGAGTGAGTGAGTGAGTGAGGTAACAAAATGAAGCCATGGGAGCTTATGAGATTAATAGGTACTATTCCACCTACAAATAATGGACAATCTAGTTTATTAGAATGTCTTTAAAGTTTATTGGCCTATAGATGGATCCTTAGCCATTTCTTCAAAGAGTCCTGGTGGTGCAGTGGTTAAGTGCTCAGCTGCTAACCGAAAGGTTGGTGGTTCAAACCCACCAGCTGCTCCGTGGAAGAAAGATGTGCCAGTCTGCTTCCATGAAGAATACACACTTGGAAACACTATGGGGCAGTTCTATTCTGTCCCATAATGTCACTATGTGAGTCAGAAACAACTCGACAGCAATAGGCTTAGTTTTCTGGTTTTAGTGCAAGAAAAGCCTTGAAGACCTTTCAATGATTCAAAAGCTGCACAGGCAGCAAGTGAAGGTGACTGTGATGAAGAATTTGTTGCGAGCAGGTGTTGGTTCAATTGTTTCAAAGTGAGGGTAAATTTGTATAACAATAAAGGGCGAGCAGGAATTGTCCATAAGGACAAGGAACTGTCCATAAGGCAAGATGCTCTTAACCCAGAGACTGCCTGTACTTGATTTTACAGTCAACCTAAGTTGTCAATAAACAACAACAAAAACAAACCCATTGCTACTGAGGCAATTCCAATTCACAGAAACTCCGTGTGTTTTAGACCAGAACCGCATTCCACAGAGTTTTCAATGGCCGCTATCTTTCAGAAGCAGATGGCCAGGCCTTTCCTCAGAGGCACCCTGGGTGGATGTGAGCTGCCAGCATCTTGTTTAGGAGATGAGCACTCGACTCATGGGACGCCAAGCTGTTAATGGCTACCATTGATTAAAGAAGTAGGAAATAGATATTATACTTATCCCCACTTTACTGATGAAGAAAATGAGGCTTAGCAAGATAATGGAGGCATCCAAACTCTGTTTAAACCCAGGGCTTGACCTCTTAACTGCCACACACATTCCTCCTGACATAGCTTTACTGTTGCAAAGTCTATAATAAAAGAGTTTAGATGAATTCCTCAGTTCATGTTAGAAGTTATGTAATTGTCTTCTCAGGAAGTTATTTAAAAACTTAATTACAACCAATATATGTTCTGTTCCTAACCTGAGATGAATATTGTTTTTCTAATTTTATATCCAAGGAAATGGGCTTCATATTTAATAGGAATCAAGACTCAGCTTTATTAGACTCCAAATACCTTGCTCTTCCCACTACTCTTCAGAATTCTGGCTAATATTCTTTGTACGTTCTTGTGAGCAGTGAAACCTTTCGTGACCTTCACAATGACATTCATTCCCTGACATGCACACTCCTAGACAACTTCAAACTCCCTGATGGAGAGATGCTTGCTGCTGTGAGCCAACCAGTCGATGGCTATAAATCCAGGCTATAAATCTTTCCGGAAGCAGACCACCTCATCTTTCTCCCACAGAGTGGCTGTGAGTTCGAATGACTGACTTTTTGGTTAGCAGCCAAATGCCTTAACCACTACTCCACCAGAGCCCTTTCTCTTGTACTAAAGTAAGGCTAAATAAGAATCATATGCACCTGTTCCAACTTACCCACGAATTCTTAGAGACAGTTAGGAATGGATGTTGTTCATCACTCAGGGACTGCCTGTATCTGCAGCCCATGAGGAGACTACATGTGCTACAAATCCTAATCAGAAGGTTGCACTGACAAGAAATAAATGTGCAGGATTAACTGACTGTGGATCACTCTTTCATTCATTTGTTAAATAAACTCTGGACTGTTCAGTACTTAACAGTCACTGTGGACAAAGAAGACAATGGTGAGCAAACAGCCATGATGGAATTAGTCTAACGGGGGAAGACAGACATTAGACAGACAACTAAGCAACTGAAACTCTGGTGAGGGAAAACTGTCGGTGGCTGCGGAGAAGTGCAGAGTGTTTGGAGATGTACGAGAGGGGCACAATCTGATCTAGGGGTATCAAAGGAGACTAAATAAATCACATTTGGGCTGACCTCTGAAGAACAATTAGATGTAAACTAGGCTAAGGAGATGTTGAAGAGTTACTGAGAGTTCTATGGAGAGACTATTGTTGTTGTTGTTGTTGTTATACGCTGTCGAGTCGACCCCGACTCATAGCAACCCCTCCTTGGGTTGCCAAGGCAGTATCACTACGGAAGTAGATTGCCCAACCTTCCTTCCGAGGAGTGGCTGGTGGGTTTGAACTACCAGCCTTCTGGTTAGCAGTCAAGTGCCTTAGGCATTATGCTACCAGAGCTCCTTGGAGAGACTACAGTACCAGTAAAAGTGAAGACAATGAGACAGAAAGAAGGATGCCATTTTAAACAAATTTGAAGAAGAAAAATGGGGATGAAGGGCAAATACGGGCTGAGGTGGACAGGGAATGGTTTTAGGTCTGACTGGAGACACAAGCAAGGCCATACAGACTTGAGATGTGAAACGATCAGATTCACACGTTGTTTGCATCTGGTGAACAGATGGGAAGGGGTGAGAGTGCATGTGGGAAGACTAGTTAAACTAGTTATTCTATTTTAGCAGTCCAGGTGAGAAATGCAGGTGCCATGGATGTGTCTCATGAATAGGAAAATGCAAACTTAAAAAAAATAACAGGACAGAAACACTTAGGAGTAACACAGGAAAATGAGCCTGCTCTGGTTCCTGGGTCCAACACTCACCATCTAAGTAAGAAAATAAGGAATGACGCCAAAGAAAATGGTATTAGACAATTCTCAAATCTGGATAGCAAGGCTACAATTACAGTCACAAAACCACAATGACCAGAAATGATGACCTGGACATCTGAGGTTTCCCTGGCAGGAAGGAAAAGGAGAATCAGGACCCTGACCAGGGACTCTAGAGTAGCACCTGGGGATCCTGCTTAGTGACTAAGAGCCTCAGGTGGAGCAGGAAAGTAGGCATCTCCCCACACTAGTTTTCTCTTGCAGAGACCAAAAACCAAACCTACAGCCACTGACTCGATCTCAACTCATAGCGACCCTTTAGGACAGAGTAGAATTGCCTGATAGGGTTTCCAAAGGAGCTCTGGTGGTGGTGTGCCTAAGGCATCTGACTGCTAACCAGAAAGTTGACAGTTCAAACACATCAGCTGCTCTGCAGAAGGAAGACAGGGCAATCTACTTCTGTAAAGATTTACTGCCTCGAAAACCCAATGGGTTGCTATGAGTTGGAATCGACTCAATGGCAACGAGTCTGGTTTGGTTTTGGTTTATAGAATTTCCAAGGCTTTAAATTTTTATGGAAGCAGACTGCCTCATCTTTCTCCTGTGGAGTAGCTGGTGAGTTTGAACTACTGATCTTTTCGTTAGCAGTCAAATGTTTTAACCACTGTACCACCAGAGTTCCTGGTGGTAGGGGTACCAGCAGGTAGACCAGTAGGGGTAATTAAGTAAGGCTCTGCATGAGGAAAAAGAGAAAACTAGCATACATGGGTTTTTGTCACTCTAGAATTTCAGGCACATGCCCCTTTATGATCAAGCCATTATCCTACACACGCTATTCTACACAGGCCTCTTGAACACTCCACAGGATGACAGCCAAACCAAAGGAGGAAATGGAAAATTCATTTATTGGAGGGAATATATCTGTCCTTGAATAATACTTGGTTTATCTAGAATCAGTCTGTAAGTAAACCAAACACATGTTACCTATAGGATAGATGTTTGCATATGTTGTTGCTTAAATTATGTTAATTTTCTTAAAAAGAAAACAAATTTACTGCATGAGAGTTATACGCCAATTATCAACAGAAATTATTTAAGTGTGGATTCTGAATTTAAATAGTTATCACTCATTTTTAAAGGAGCTCTGGTGATGCAGTGGGTAAGACATTTGGCTGCTAACCAGGTTATCAGTAGTTCAAACCCACCAGCTGCTCCATGGGAGGAAGATGAGGCAATCTACTTCCTAAAGATGTATAGCCTTGGAAACCCAATGGGGGTTCCTATGAGTTAGAATCGACTCAATGGCAGTGAGTTTATCATTCATTTTGATATTTGATTATATTATGCATTATACTATTATTTAAATATTTTGTGTGATTATAAATGTTATCCTTAATTAGATTATGAGATACCTGAACAAGGCAGATCTATATCTTATTCTTCATTCATACCTCTTACAATCTGACAAAGTAATAAGATCTAAATTGTTATTAATGTGTAAATTACTCCCAATAATTAAGATAGTTAATGTTTAAATTTAATCACTGTTTAAATGCACGTATTTTGTGTGGTCACAGGACGGAGAAGGTAAAATCCTTGAATCAACCATGTTGGCAGATGCAACGAGCAAACAGACAAGAAAACTGAGGACACCAGTAGAGAAATTAAATGACAGGTCACGTAGTTTAAAGCCAGTCAAAGAAAGAGGAAAGCAACAGGGAGGTATTTTCTATGACTGTCTCCAAATTTTTCTCAAGTGATATAGGACACTGGGGAGAAAACATGGTACTAGGGATACGGGGGGGAGACTCTGTTAGGGAAATGTGGGTATCTCCAAGTTCCTATAGGGTCACTATGAGTCAGCATCAACTTAATGGCAGTAGGTTTGCTTTTGATTTGACTCCCAATGGAGTGCTTTAGGAAATCATTTGGGAGATACTAGTGAAAAACTGAGATTTTTGGATGGATTTATTAGAGACGAAAGTCATATTAAATACCACACCTTTTCATAAATTCCTTCCTAATCCTTTTATGTACTTAGCTATGGATCATTTTGCAAGATAAAAATGGAGAAAACAGAAAACTTAAGAAGAGTCCCAGGAGCTAGAGCTTACCCAGCTAAGCTTTCATTTTGCTGTCAAAGATACTTCTAACTACAAATAGAACTAAATTTCTCCATGCATTACTCTAAGTAGGACCCAGTGTCTCTCCATTAACTCGGGGATGGCTGCAGCTTCCCAGAGAGAACACTCTAACAAAATTATGCAGGCTTTTCCCACTGTTCTGCATAAGCATTTACATTATATACCATTATTTCTTTTTAAGGCAAGATTAAGAAGTGACTCAAATTAAATGCTAATTAAAGTAATATTTAAATTTCACAAGATGTAATTTTTGCATATATGAATAAGTCTTAATGCCATAAATATTTTTAGGATAAATTAGAAGTGTATAAAATTTGGTTAAAAATTATAGCAACTTTTTTTTTTAAACCTTTAGTCACAAAAGGTGCAGCATACTATTGACTTTATAATTTAAAACTTTACCTCTTTCACTGGCATCATCTACCAGAACAATTTCTTCTAGCATGTGTCGTGGTGAGCGATTAATGACACTATGGACAGTTCGCAGAAGTGTGCTCCAAGCCTCATTGTGGAAGACAATCACCACACTTGTTGTAGGAAGAGTATCTGGATACACCTTTGTTTTACACCTGGAGACAAAGCAAATGCCTTTATAAAAAGTGACCTTTAAGACAGCCGAATGAATGAATCTCAACAGGCCTAGAAAAGGGAACAATAAAAGCAGCTTGTCCTTATCATAGGACTCTTGGTGACTTTTCATTTAAGTTTTGGTTAACACCGCATGAATAATAAATGTTGTTATTGTTGTTATGTGCCATCGAGCTGGACCAGACTCACAGCGACCCCTCCTTGGGTTTCTGAGGTGGTATCACTATGAAAGTAGATTGCCCAATCTTCCTTCTGAGGAGTGGCTGGTGAATTTGAACAGCCAGCCTCCTGGTTAGCAGTCAAGTGCTTAGGCGCTACACTACCAGAGCTCCCATATGATAAACAGTGACTATTTAAAGTTGAGGAGCTCTGGTAGCGTAGTGCCTAAGGCACTTGACTGCTAACCAGAAGGCTGGTGGTTCAAACCCACCAGCCACTCCTTGGAAGGAAGGGTGGGCAATGTACTTCCATAGTGATACCGCCTCAGAAACCCAAGGAGGGGTCACCATGAGTTGGGTCCGACTTCACGGCACATTAACAACAATAACATTTAAAGTTGGGAGCTCTGGTGGCATAGTGCCTAAGGCATTTTACTGCTAACCAGAAGGCTGGCGGTTCAAACCCACCAGCCACTCCTCAGAAGGAAGGTTGGGCAATCTACTGCCATAGTGATATTGCCTCGGAAACCCAAGGAGGGGTCTCCTATGAGTAGGAGACGACTTGACCGCAGTGAGTTTGGCTTGGTTTTTTGGTATTTAAAGTTAGACATTTAGATTAAAATTATTTTAAAGATGTCAACTGCATTCTTAAAATCAGGTATCTCTTTGTGATGAATATATTCTGTTGATTGATTTTACTGGAGAACGTATTAAGGCTACACTATCAATCCTAAATTGAATTGGGCTTTAAGAATTTGAAAGAATGACAAAAAGTCAGAGCTACCTGGTTTACACAGTTAAATAAGGTAAACAAAAATACACCTTCTACAAAGGAGCTCTGGTAGCATAGTGCCTAAGGCACTCGACTGCTCACCAGAAGGCTGGCGGTTCAAACCTACCAGCCACTCCTCGGAAGGAAGGTTGGGCAATCCTACTTCCGTAGTGATACTGCCTCAGAAACCCAAGGAGGGGTCGCTATGAGTCGGGGCCGACTCGACGGCAAACAACAACAACAACAAAGGCAGAGAATGAATTAACACTTGCTGAGTACCTACTATGAACCAGGCACTTAAAAGCTTCCCAATAATTCTATAAGGTAGGTACCATTAACCTCATTTACAGAAGAGAAACTGGGGACATAGACAAAGTGAGTGGCAGGCCTGATGGAGGACTCCACAGCCCACAATCTTTTGAGCACTCCTGATGATGCCTTCTCCATAATAATTAAATATCACTATGCATCTTGGTAAGCAGCTCTGATGGTAGGGTGTCTAAGGCATTTGACTGCTAACCAGAAGATTGGCAGTTCAAACCTGCCAGCCACTCCACAGAAGGAAGACTGGGCAATCTACTTCCATAATGATTTGCCAAAACCAAACCAAATCCTGGAAAACCAATGGGGGTTGCTATGAGTTAGAATTGACTCGATAGCACTAAGTTTGGTTTTAGGTGTTTTTTTTTTTTTTAATGCATCTTGTTTAGTAAAGTCTGTGCAAAAATGCATCAACAGAAAGACCAGAAACATACCTAGATATATGCACAAAAACCCATCTATTGATTGTAAGCAACATGGTCTCTTCCTTTTAGCTAGATAAAACTAACAGCTAACAGACTAGAGACCAATGATGGACAGTAAATAACCAGATACTAAGGCATGGGTTTCAGAACAGAAGCACTCCTAAGGAGGGCATAAGGAGCTCTGAAGTGCAGTGCCTAAGGCATTTGCTGCTTACCAGAAGGTTGGCAGTTCAAACCCACTAGACACTCTGTGGAAGGAAGACAGGGCAATCTACTTCTGTAAAGATTTACCACCTCAGAAACCCAAAGGGGGTCACTATGAGTCAGAACTGACTCGATGGTAGTGGGTTTGGTTGGTTTTGGAAAGGAAAGCATATAACAACTCTCTTGGGTATCCCCAGTTGTAACAGCTGCTTTAACCTCTGTCTGCCTTTTTCCCCGCTTCTCTTTTCTCAGCCTTCTCAAATCCTGTGCTCTCTCCAACCTCATTTGTTATCATGGAGAAGGGGGGGAGGGGTAAGAAATGAGAAAAATACCAACAGAATCTCACCTAAAGCTTTAATCTTACAGCCTCATAACGCTACTTCTGAAATGTTCCATTCTAGGGTTGTGGTTGGCAGTTGGAAGAAAAGGAAATGGGATGAAAAAGGATGGCAGGGTGAAGGAGTTGAAGAGAACTCACTGTAGGGTCCTCGTAGCACTTATCCTTCCTCAATGAAAAGAGACACAAATAGCTTCCATTGTCCCTCTTTATTAAATTCCTCTGAACTCCCTTCCCCCTTTACCATTCCCAAGTCTCCCTTTCACAGAGTGATTTCCATCCCCCATTGCCAGCACCCTCACTATCAATCCACTGACCCAAGCTCCATAGCCTTATTTCCACTTCACTTTCCACTTACCTCCCCTCTACCCTATGTCCCCACATTTTCACTCCAAGATCCACTAGAAGGCCCCACCCAACCTATCAATCTCTCGATAGCTCACTTTTCTCCAAGTCTGGACTATAGTGCGGGGGCCCAAAGGACTGGTTTCCTAGGCTACTGGAAGGAAAATATGTCCCCAGCACTCCAAATAATTCTTCTGAAACTAGTTTCCCATCAAAACTGTATTATAAATGATGGCTAGCTTCAGGTACATCACAGGTGAGTAGGACAAAGAACTCAGCGTTTTAGTGGGGAGAAGCATCCTGAATGCCTGACTCACAGAACAGGACTCGGAAGTCAGGAATTCCTATGTATGGGGAAAGAGAATTTGTAAGAAGGAAAGAAAAAGAGTTTCTTACTTAACTGAATAACATTATATTTTTTTTCTCAAGTTAATTCTACTTAGTATTAAAGTACAGTTACGAAGCAGAAAACAGTCAAACTATAAAGCTGCTACTAGTTTAGCAACACAGCAAAAAAGGGTAAAATTGAATGAGATATAAAAGATGATTAAACAGAATGCACAGTGTACAAAAAGTATTGTTAACCATGTCCATGGCTTGGAAGCTACCAGGAAGAAGACAGAGACAATCTGAGACAGCAGACCTTGCAGAAAGAAATACACAAGTAACTCAGATTTATTATTTAGATGATGCATTAAAGAATTAAGTTCTGAAACTGTAGGGAAAGGAAAGAAAATGAGAAAAATACTACAAGAAAGAAGACTAAGTGGAAATCATTCACAATAAGATGGAAGCATCGGAAGGTATTGTTGTTGTTATGTGCCATCGAGTTGGATCCGACTCACAGCAACCCCTCCTTGGGTTTCCAAGGCAGTATCACTATGGAAGTAGATTACCCAACCTTCCTTCCATCAGAAGGTATTAGAAATCAGAGTAATAAATGACAAAAAGGGAAAATAAGTTTCCTAAATCATTCAGAGAATATAAATTCATAAGGGATAAAATTCTCTCAAAGCAAAACAGAAAATATGGAAAAAATCACAAGTATTCTCACAACAGTTTCACACATGCACACACCTGTGAAAACCCTAAAGCACTTCAAAAGAACCAAACATCCTGTCAGCACTCTACATCAGCTTTTCACATGGAGAGAAGAGACCACTTGTGTGTGTGTGTGTGCTAGGGATGGGGGCGAGTGGGGAATTTGCAGGACACAGAGCTCAGCACGCGTAGGCAGGCTAGCAGCAGTGTGATGAAGCAGCTTTCTTCTACCCTGTCCCAACTGAGACCTTCATCTTCAGGGATGAATTGAAAACTAACCAGTATAAAGCTGTACTTTTTTAAAAAAAATTATATGGAGGTTTATCAAGAAGGTATAAGTTAGGAAGAGAGGGAAGAGAAGACTCTTAAGTAAAACTTTTATTAAAATGTCAAGAAATAGAACACCCCAAGAGGCTAACACCTCAGTGGCTTCCTTTGTGCCCTTCCCATTGTAACCACACTACTGGACTTCTATTATAGACAGGTTTTGCCTGTTTTCTGAGCTTTATTTATAGGGAATAATACAGAGCAAGGGTTCTTAAACTTTTGGACTCAGGATCTCTTTGCAATCTTGAAAGTTATTGAGGATGTCCAAGAATATCTGTCTATGTAAGCTGTATCTATTGATATTTACCATATTATAAATTAAAATAGAAAAATCTAAAATGTAAGAATCTACTAGCACATATGACATTAGGTGTCAGAGGGCTGACTCATCACTATCATGTAGTGTGTGCCAGTGCCTCTCAGTATTGGACCCCATAAGCAGTTTTCCTTTCCAGATGACATAATGTTCAACTGTGTCAGTAAAGGGTGATGGAGGGACACTGTAGGAGGAAGAAATTTATCTTCCTGATTCTGGTATGTTTCAACGTTTCCTTCTTGCTCCTACTGCGTGGCTTCCAGTGGAGTGCGGGGTGGCATTTAGAAGCATTCACCTTCACTGAGTTTCAGAAACACGCCACGAGGCTGATTCTCAGTGAGCTCCTTGGAAACACCCCAATAGTTGGCTTCCCAGCTTTGGCGACCTGTCAAATCACTCCTCTGGAGGTGGGGTGGGGTTCCACTTTGCCAGTTATGAGCTTGATTTCCTGTTTCTCAGTCATGGCTACCCAGAGGGTACCATGCCCCCGTCTACAGATAGGAGCAACCACCAAACTTCTCTACCATCCAGTGACCTGCAGACCTTCTCCAACAAAGTCTAAATCCCTGCCATAGAGGGAGCTTTTTTCCAAGGTTTTTCCTTTCCCGGTACTCTCCTTGGACCCCAGGATGTTATTTAGAATTGTCTTTTATCCTGTTCAGTTAATTCCATTCCAGTTAATAATTATTTACATTGAACCTGCCCTGTTTAAATTTTCTAGAACCTGATCCATGC